GCCTGTGATGGGCTGGCGGTCTACAGCTTTAGGCTGGCGAAGGAGGGGGATTCGTCCCCCTTAGCCTCAAGCTGCGCATGCGCTGGGAGGGGAGTGGTGACGCGGCGAAGAAGTGAATGGCGCATGCGCACTGGGCGCGCGGCCTGCTCCCTGAGGTAAGAGCAGCGCACGGGGGCTGTTAAACCGTCGCCGCGCGGGGCCCCCTAGGAGCGCCCCGGCGGTGACCTCCCCGCGGCCTCGTCCCGTCCCGTCCCGTCCCGCCCCCGTCCGGGGGGGACCTCCCCTCGGCCTCGTCCCGTCCCGTCCCGTCCCGTCCCGTCCCGCTCTCCCTTCGCGCTGAAGTGACGCCTTGGAGCACCCGCCTGCCGCGTCCTCCCTGAGGCTGAATTTGGATGACCTATCAGCAAAGTGGACACCTGTTGCAAAATGTTGCGGCCCCTAAAGTGGGGGGGAGGGGCTTAGGTCATGAAAATTAAGCCTCTATCAGCAAGTCGGACACTCGTTGCAAAATGTGGGGGGCCCTAAAGTGCGGGGGTGCCCTTAGAGGGTTAATTGTCATGATATCAGCAACATTAGTTGCAAAATTTAGGGGCCCCCTAAAGTGTGGGGCCCAGGTTTGCCCCCCCTAAGGCCGCCACTGCAACAAAACGCTTCACTCCCATCATTTAGTTGCTAGTGCCACCAAGCGGCCGGTGACAACGGTGAGGTGGTTTGTTTTTTGCGGGGGGAGGGGGTGTATCTTTTTTCATTCCCGTAACACTTCTCCCATACAAGGAGGTACAGATATTAGAGAGCGAAAACACACTTTTAAAAGCAGTTTGGAGCAGGCAGCTTGCGTATGAAAGCCGTTTATTCTTGGGTTTAAACCCGTAGACCGTGCCGTCGGATCGGTTTTTCGTTCGGAAGAATAAACGGTGTCGAAGCCGCCTGCACGGTCCTTCCCGCGCTCGCCCGTCTGAACGCAGCCAAGCCCTGACCTGGGCGGGGAGGTTGAGCTGTGCTTCCGGCCTTAAAGCCCGTTTGCTCCACGATCCATCTTGTTTCAAACTCTGAAAGAACCAGGTTTGATGTGGGGCTGGGAAGGGGGAAGTGACTCGGGAGCGGAGTCCCATCGGTCGGATGAGCGCTAAACACCGCAGCAACGACATTAGTCTGGAATAAAATTGACGTATCTGGGAAACACCTTTAGTAGAGGCAACACAGACCGTAGCAGCAAACACCTGTAATTAAAATGGTGCTCCGATATATATTTTAAAAAAATTGGAGATGGGACCAAATAAGTTTAAAAAAAAAAAAAAAAGTTTGTTTTCTGTTCATAAACGTGAGCTAAGTGGTGGCATTGTAAAATATTCTGTCATAATGTCACCGTGCATTTGTATTTGCTTTTTGTAGAGATATTAATCATTAACACACTATTATTTCTGTCCCCAAACCACCCCAAGGTGTTTTGTGTAAAATTGTACAGTGTATAGGTAGAAAGTTATTGGCATCCAGCATCAAAATGCTTCCGTCTGTGGGGTTGAACACGTCTTTAGCACCGCACGACACGGCAGCGTAGAAAAGTTAATCTTCGTTTTCTATTGCAAGTGAAATTCATAAAGGTAGAATGCATTTTGCTCCTTCTTGAAACTTGAGTAATGTGATATGATCACCCAAAAAGTCCTGCCTGGTATTAAAAGTTCTGGTCGAAAATGACCCTTATGTTTTATTTGAAAGATAACCGCATTGTTTTAGTACAGAGTCAGTATAATGGGTCATCAGCCAAATCACTAACTTCAGTTACTTTCTGTACCACCTACATGGTGCTTGGAGGTCTCTCAGCCAGGTACGTTATTATCTAGCAAAGAGTCATTTTCTGCTTGACAAGCCAAGGCCGGTTTTCATTGCTATTATGTCACTAACTTGAAACATTGAAGTTTAGCTAATTTTATTGTAGTCTGCAGAGAAATTAAATTGAGTTCTCGTTAGCTGGGTCACCTTGGGTATCAAAACTTTCTGCCAGGAGCCGGTGTATATCTGCAAAGAGACACGCATACACCCAGGTTTCTTGTGCAGGAAAAGCTGGGGATGTTTGTCGTAATCTTGAATACACCATTTCTGTTCAACTCCTGACAAAGTGTTCAAGTTTTGGTTTGATTGGGCGTTCTCCTGAGATCATCTGGTCCGTGGGACAGATTCATCCTACAGTCTATGCTAGCATGGTGGGGAGTTGCAGTCTTGCTCCGTTGTGGAGCCAGCATTACTGAAGTAGTAGGGGAGAGTCAGCTGGGGATGTGCTAGTCTACTGCATTTCCCAGGAATCCTCCAGCAGGAGGGCTTCTACTGGTATTGCCATGACTTAGACCTGTCTTCCTTGACCCAACAGTCTCCCCGTAGCAGGACTTGTCCTCCCTCTGGACCTGCAAAGGTATTCTGTGAGGGTGGAATTATGCCTCCCACTGCCAGCAAAAGCAAATGTGGACTCAGTGGGAGGCTTACAAATCTGATTGTAGATGTGTGGCTAACCTCCTCTTCTCATTAAGTTTCTGTCACTTAGGTAAGGAAGTATTCTGGCCCCAAATATTTTAGTAGAGCTAGAATTTAACCCATAACCAGTTGTCTTTCATCCAACTGGTACTTTGGACCACTTTAAAAAGTAGAGTCCTGAAAAGCTACAAAGACGATGCAAGTAGTTTGCATTCCACCTGAACAAGGAACGCCCCCAAATTTACATCTTTTGTGCAAGGAGCTTTTAGTCTCCTCTCAACTTGTTGCCATTATACAGATCCCATTTAGGAGCAGCTGGTTAACTTTTGGCTAGTTTAAGAAAGAATGTTACAGCCTCACATCAGTTTGTTTGAATTCTTACCATTCCAGTCTCATTTTTGTTGCAAATTGCAACATCCCACAGGATACTTTAGATTAACATGAAGTGCCTGTGTATTATGTACAATAGCTGCAGATGTATTATAATGTTAAAACAAGATTTGTATCTATTTTTTTTCTATTTCAGGTTCCATTGAAGGGGAACTCTTGTCTCCAATTCTTTATGAATGCTTTAGGCTTATTTTACTCTATGACCTGGCTGCCTAAAATAGGTGTAGTATCTTGGAGGCCATGGACTTTGAGGAAGCAACTGTTTTTATCCCCCAGGCAGTCTGTGCCTCTCTTCCAAGTAGCAGGAAAGAAGACTTCTCGTGATCTTCTTGCACTAAGTGAGACAGAATTAGAAGAACAGCTTGTAAGAGGTAGTGGCCCTGGAGGCCAAGCAACTAATAAAACAAACAACTGTGTTGTCTTGAAGCACATTCCATCTGGGATTGTAGTCAAGGTAATTATGTGGTAGTGCTTTGTGTGGTAAAGAAGTTTGGCAATAGCCTGCTGGCAAAGCTATGAACTAATGGTTTGAGCCGATATAAAATCCTAAAGTTCTGACTTTTCTGTCTCGATATTTACAATCACTTTATGTTGCTTTATTTTTCCCAGTATTTTTAAGGCCGCCTTATTAAAATTAGATTACAGAATCATAGAAAGCTAGGGATAGAAAGAAGCTCAGGATGTCTTGAAGAAGGAAGTCAGGGGGTCAGACTTACAGGATCCCTTAGATATTAAACACCTCAAAAACCTGAGCATTGTGTCATCTATCTGCCAGTAAATGGTGGGGGGGAGGTAGTGTGTGTTTTTCTTTGTGGTTTTTTACTGCTGCAGCAGAGAGGCTAGCTCTTTGAAACATTATTTTGATTACTAGTTCAAATGAAATAACATGATAATGAGCTTCAAAATCATTCCTCAGATATTGAGAGAGAGACTTTATAACCCTTCAGAAACTGTTTTCTTGTTTGCTTGTCCACTTACATTAATAACTCTGAAACTTCAAATATTAATATCCCAGGCTTGGGGGAAGGGAGGGGGAGTTGATGCAGTAGTTCCCATGAGTTGAGGGCTGTAAGATCAGACCCTATGTTAGTACAACATACATAATACAAGGAAAAAAGTGTTTCTAAGTGAAATAACATTACATTCAGAATAAAAAATACCCAACTATATTTTTCAGTGTCATCAAACTAGATCAGTGGAGCTGAACCAAAAGAGAGCTAGAGAGATACTGCAAGAAAAAGTTGACCTATTTTACAAAGGTGAAGATAGTGATGTTTTCAAAGAGAAGATGAAAGCAGGGAGCAAAAAGCAAGAGAAGAAAAGAAAAGCAAAGGAAAACCTGGAAAGGAAAAAACAACTTAAAAAAATGCAAGAACTGGAGAATGAGAAACTGTTCCCCTGAAAACAGCAAGTGTGTTAATTTTCCATCATTTTGATGCCATAGGACTTCCCAAACACCACTGAAAATATTGAGTTATGAATGAGCTTCCATTAGCATAAAACAAGGCATTTAACCACTGGCTAACAGCAATCACATTTCAGCCTCAATCCACTGCCTCATTCTCCACATTCAACAGTCAAACTCAGCATGAATAGTTGGTTAAGGCAGTTTTGGTAAAAGAAGCAACATGATCATTTAGGCCTTGTTGTAGTGCATCTTACTGACTTTCTCTTCTGTATAGCCCATGGAAATAGAATAAGAAAAAACACAATAGGCTAAGAATAGTCTTTTCAGAGTGTGAAGATTTAGGCATATAATCATCTCTCTTAGTCCAATGCTTAAATTTCCTCTACATAAAGATGAGGGCATAACTAAAACATAGGACAACCCATAATCACTGCACAGGCAGTATTCCTACTGAAGTCAGAATCGCCTTCATAAACTACAGGATATCGAATAAACCAGCAATAGGATAATACCTTGTTCTTGCACAAAGAAGTGGAGGATACTGTAGACTGAAAAAATCAGCTGTGGAGAGAAAAAGGGCTTAATCTTAAATGTTCTTAAGCAACACAGTCCCTTTCCCCAAATTGTGTTAAGTCTTAGTACTGACCACTGTTGCCTCCTTTCTTTGGGTTTTCATTGTATACTAAACATCTACCTTCAGTAATAAATTCACAGCTTCATTTATCATGCAGTTTTGATATCGCAAAACAGGACATTATATTATGTGTATGAACTTTGCCTCAAAGGGTCCTCAGCTTGTTTGAAATATTTCCCTAGTGTTATTTGATTGGGAAGTAAGTATTGTGTGTTGTCACATAAATGCTGATTTGAATCCAGAGATGTGTGACTGATCTTCCTCTTAAAAGTGTAGAAAAATTTAGTCACGTCTGGAATTTTTATAGTCTCTCATGCACGTAGCATGGATTGCTATGAGAAGCTATGCCCCAGCAGCGAAAGGGTAGAGAGAGAGCGTCCAAAAGGACATTTGTGGCACTTCGGAAGGTTTGTGGGCGCAGTGGGTTAGTTCTTTAGGAAAAGGAATGGAGACAGCAAACGGCCTTACCTTCTTCCTGCAGGGACTGCCTGCCTGCATCCAACTATGCCATGGACGGAGCATCTCTAGCTGCATGCAGTCGTGTTCTCTAGCCTGTTCCCAGATTTGAGCCTCACACATGAAGGTTAAACCTTTACCTATCTAACCAGGTTCTTTTGTACATTTAACATCAGATGGATTAAAGGCACTCTACATGGTTTTAATACAAATTGTTAATGAAAATAAGTTTTATTACATCAAGTAATAAATACATACAAAGATGCAAATAACAGTTTTAGTCATTTATCCAGAATGTTCTTTTTTTTTTTCTTCTTTTCTTTTTTTTTTGGCAAACTTACAACTGAAATCTTCAGCCTTAGTGTGAAAATTAGTTTTCTGGGACCTTGTTATTGTTTAATAGGTTGCCCTACCTCCTGTATAGCTCATGCACTTTAAATGGACTCCAAAGTACTAACAATCATGCAAATGCTTATGCAAAAAAAGGGTTATTTCTAAGCGGGAATCTATGCTGTATGACACTGTGTGATATAGCAGACTACTAGGTAAAACGTGCTATCTGCATTTATTTAAAAAAATGCTTGGAGCTTATGTCAAAGGATGGAAGTTTGACAATTTGGGGTTACGTGAATAGGCAAAGAAAAAGAATGAGACTGCGGCTGAATAGGAAGGGAAGTGAAGTATAGCCTGAGGGATAGAAAGCATTCCTTTGCATGCAGTTCAGCCTCAACAATCTTTAGAAATAATTTGGGGAGTTTAACATCTTAAAAAAATGCAAACCCTTGTCAGTTGAAAAAATCCTTGTTTTTCTCATTCTTAACTGTACATTTTTAAGGGCAAAAAAAGGAACGTAAAACATTCAAAATTAAAGGATTTATCTGAATGTTTTGAAAGTCACCAAGGGAATAACTAGTACTCTTCCTTCATAAAGAGGTGGAAAATCTTTTAACTGAATTAGTAGGCTAGGATCTTGCATTCCGTTCAGTCTCAGCCAAGCATTCTCGAACTAATCCTCTAGCATGAATGATGCCTGCAAAAGAATTGTACATTTTTGAGCATCTCATCCAGGTGCCAACTAAGGAAGTGAAAGTTCACAGGAAAAAAAAAAGCTTTTCCATTCTAAAATAACTTGCAAAGCTTCCACAATGCCCCTTAGGGAAGGCAGCTTCCCCAGCCCCCTCAAACCACCACAGCTAAGAAGTTTTTCTCCTCCAAATTGGCATCTGAAGTTTGAAGCGGGTCCAAACCAAAGTCTTCCACCCCCTGAAGGTGGCAGCTTCACATTCAGTCAGATTTAAACTGCGCCTATCTACATTTAGAAACCTAACCTTTAAAAGTGTGGGTCTTGCACAGTTAACTTGACTAGTGATTACTTTTTAGTGAGGTTATCAAAACCTGAGGTAGTGTTTGCTCTGAGAGGATATGTCTGGAAAATCTAAGCCGTGATAGCAGCCCCCTGCAAGGAGTGGTATCTGGAGAAGGGAAACTTCTGTAACAATTTCCTCTTTTTATTAACACTGGGGCAGCTCCAGCCAGGAGAGTTTTAGTGTAGACTGCCATCGCCGTTTTAAGTACCGGCCTCTACCTTTGCTCAGATCTAGTGGACTTGAATTGAAACATTTCCAGGAGCTGAAAGGTGCCCAGTATACGCAGCACAGGTCTCCTGAGTTATGTTGGAAACTGGGATTAGTTGATTTTACATCTTGATAACCTGGGTGGGCTTTGGAACTAGTGGACAGGAGTCCTATTCTGGAAGAGCCATGTATGTCAGGTGCCTTTCCACTGCTGCAAACCACCCAAGCATGTGCACACGTGTTAATTCCCTCTCCTGTGGGTAGATTTTTGCAGCATTGGCAAATTAGCAAGTTAATCAGCCACTTGCACAGCCACCTACCAGCATTACAGACAGGGCCTAGATCTTCAAACCATGCTGCGCAAACATTCGCTGTGATGGCCAAAAGCACGACTCACTTTCCTCTTACAAGCAGCTGAAGTAAAGGTAATGTTCATGCTAACAGTCTGCATCTTGCCAGACCTCTCCCAAGTTGTCCTATTAGCCTATTGCCACTCTTGATCTATTGACATTGACTCAGCCAATGCAAGAGAGAAGCGACTCCTGCAACATTGATTTTAGTCCAGCCAGATTCCACTTATCACTTTTCAGCAGACTTTATAGCATCCTTTCCCAGAACAGCTACTAGTCATTTTATTGCATGTCACGGCAGATATATGACTCCCCCCATTAACGGTTGAGCTTTAAATAAAACCTCTGTAGTCCTGGGCAAGCGGAGAGTGGATTTGCAAGGTGGTGAAGTTATGTCTGCTACAACCACATAGTCTCTTCAGTCTGAATGCACGAGCCAAGCTCGGCGCGGGGACCAAGGCAGCTGGAGTAGGGGAGGAAAAGGCTTTATGCCTTGCTGGCACAGGGTATGGCAGCCTGGGAAACTATACTCAGCTGCACACGCCCTCATGGGTCACACCAGCAGTCAGAGTGCCCCCATTCCTTCAGGAACATCCCTCCCACGGGTCCTGCAGAGGGAGATGTAGACAATCTCGTTTCCCCTCTGCTGCCCGGAAAGGACGTTTGTGACCCCTTTTAGCTGCATGAAGGAAGCTGTAGAGTTAATTAACGGAGCCCTTAGACCCCAGGAGCCTCTGGCTCTGTCCAATGTAATTATGTTCAATTATCAATGCACATGGGAGTCTAAGCATCACAAACTCGGGAGCAGGAGAGAGTAAGACGCCAGCGGCTGCTGCAGCGTACTGCTGTACTACTCGAGTGCATGTCACCTTTTTCTCTACTGTCCACTTAACATACAAGTCACTGACACAACCTCGTTCAGCTAAGGCTTGTTGGGCTGAATACAGTTCTCTGGTGTGACACAGACCCTTTGATTTGTGGTTTGAAGTCCATGGGAGAGACCCTACGCGACTAAGGGCATGTCTACACAGCAAACCTACCACCCCAGGCAGCAGCATCCTCACACACGCACACTGCACTGCTCTCCATGAGCTGCCTTCTGGCCAAGAGGCAACACAACTGTGTCTACGTGGTGCTTCAGGCAGGCTAATCAGTGCCGAGTGACAGGGCCGATTAGCCCTTTCCTGCACTAAGGAACTCACCTGCAGCACTGCACAGATGCAGCTTCACTGCTTCAGGGGCCAGGAGACAATTCAGGCAGAGCAACGTGCTGTGTTCAAGGGCACTGCTGTTTTGCCTGGTAAGCAGAACCATCCCTAGGGGTGTGCGAGGCATAGGGCATATCAGCCCATGTGGGGCCGGGGGTGGCGAATGAGAGGGTGGGGGCAGGAAGCGGCTGGAGCACAGAGCCAGTAGTGCGCGGCAGCCACGGCAGAGCTGGCGGCGTGCAGTGGCCACAACCAAGCTGGTACGCCACTGTCCTGTATGGAACCATCTGCAGGGGCCCCCCAAAGCACAAGGGCTGGGGAGGTCGCCCCAATTCACCCCCCACCCAGGGACAGTCCTGCTAGTAAGTTTGCCTTGTAGATATGCCTGATGTCACCAGAAACCGAGACACATTGAGGGGCTGGGCAGTTATGCTAACTTGGAGCCCTCTCTGTGCCATGCACTGGTTTCTCTTGATAGATGTCAGTGATTCCAACGTCTATGTTAACAAACTTAACTAAGTTCAGACATCTTAAATGTCTGCCCTCTGTGGTTGTCAGAAAACAATCTGTAAGCAATATACATGAGAAGACAGATACGTTTTACATGTCTAGTATAAATTACCTCGTTTTAGCCTCTCCATGGCACTTTTACTTCCCGCATACGTGGGTCTAATTTCTTTTCCTAATTCTTCTATGATAGCTAGGAGTTCTGCATATTTGCTTTGTGGTACTTGACTGCTGCTGGTACCCTACAGTTTGAAAGAAGTTAATCTGAGTTACACGGTGAAAAACAAACAGCTGGAAAGAACAACTATTTCACAGAGCTTGTCCTGGCCATTTGCACTCCAATTTTAGAAGGCTATCAACATGATGCAGCTGTAGCTCCTGCTTTTGTAATCAGATGCTGCTCAGGTGCATTATCTCTTCTCACCCAACTGCAGGACTGGAGCCTTGGGTTGTAAAACATTTCATGTAGATAGCACTGCAAACAGAGTTAACAAATGCAACCCCCTTGTTACAGCCTCTCCCCCTCCTCTCTCTCGCCACCACACTTTTCACTTTCTGTACTCTAAGTACTAGTACAGGCAGAAAAATGTTTACAGAATAAGTTAAAGTAGGGGGGAGTTAGTGGGACACAATTACAAGAAAATGGTTTACACATCAAAAAAGAAAGCATCCTTCCCCCTGTTAAACGTTAGAAGCTGCCCCGAAGTGGGAAGTTAGATCCCCGTAGCAGCCAACAAAGAGGCTTGGCTCATGCAGTGTAGAGCACTGGAAATTCTAAATTACCCACAGAAAACAATTAGAAATGCAATACTGCGACTATTCATTATTTGTAACACGGTAAGTGTTCAGTTGGTTTCAGCCCTGAACGTCAGATCACGAGCTATCCCCACTTTATATCCTCACCTTTGTCTTGGAACACAACTCGCATCTCGGTTCGCCATGAGTCAGAAAAGCAGAGGCTAGTGGTCAGCTATTAATTAATCCCTGATGAGCATTATAATTATTCTAGTATGGCATGAGGACGCATGTAATGACTCTGTTTGCCATTTGGATTTTATTTCCAAGCCCTGGAGAGGTCACATGGACAACAGCCCACAATTTACTAGCTTGAGCAACGGCATTGTCACCAGAAAGATTTAAAAGAAAAATTAGAATTTTACCTGCATCCCTTGTGTGTAGCCTAGGGACGGTGGTCCGTAGTCATTTATAAGTTGTCTGTATTGTGCAGATGTGGCCATACTTGTGGAGGGAGAGTGAACGCTTCCAGCTTCCAAGAGAAAAAAAAAAAATTAAATCAAGACTTATTAGCTAAAGATGGATTAGTCAATACACATTAGGACTCAGTTTAGTGGGCTTTTCTCTCCTTTTTTTAAACAGTAACCTGATTCTTCTTCTCCCAGCCCACTAACATCAATTAAGAGTCACACTATTCATTGGACATGGTACCAGTGATTAGCGTAGCAGTCCTTTCACGGCTACTGTACATTTGAAAACAGTGCAGGCTGTAACATTAGCCACAGCATTTGCACTCTTTCAAGGGAAGCCCAGCATAGCATTGCAGGTTGCTCTGCAGACTTACTGTAAACACAGAGGAGCTGTATTTTTGCTCCTGCCCTACGAATTAAGTCCAACACC